GGTCATCCGACGTGACGTCTCCGTTCCCTCCTTCAGGGAACGAGGGTTACCATACATAACCGAGACATTCTATTTGTTGAATATAGAATTTAAATACAATTTGAAATAGTTTGTTGTTATTGGTAACAGTACTATTCTGATTGATTTAAGTAATTGGTCAAATGTAAGCATTTGATGTAAAAGACAACACAGATACAATTAATAAGGTAATTATGAAAATTGCCCTTACAAAGGTAAAAAATGTAAATAAAAAATACCCCTGGAAATCAAATAGTGCCCCTTGATTGAAAAGTTAATTTCTGAAATTAATTTAGACTAATTTGTCTGTATTCATGTTGTTTATTGCATGAATCCTCTGTGAGCAGATGATCAGTGTGTGTGTGTGTGTGTGTGTGTGTGTGTGTGTGTGTGTGATGATTTTCATCATCACAATAGATCACCGCAGATGTTTGCCAGATATCATGGCAACAGCAAAGCACACAATATTTCTGTGACCTTGTGATTTCAGCTCCATCCTCACTGGAAAAATAATGACGGATAGTGACAAATTATGTCTGTCTCTGCCACAAAACAAGCACCTGTTTCAAATGTGTCCTGCTCTCAGAGTAAACGCTGTTGTGCAGAGGACAGAGGAGGTGCTGCTCATTTTGTCCTCATGTTGAAGTCAGTTATTTTAGCACTGCATATTCTACATTATCTAATTAGTATTTATAGGTTCAAACTGCAGATGTATACATGCTTTTTTTTTTTTTTATGTCTGAGAACATTTAGTATGAGAATTTAGTATGAGAATCTGCTTTAAAAGGATTTGTATAATGATTTTGTATGTTATTTATATTTAATTGTATTCATCTCCTGTGTTTGTCTTTTAGGGAAGAGGCCATCATGTCCACATATTTTGAGACGGTGGACGATCTGCTTGCGTCGTTTGGTCCAGTGAGGGATTGCTCTAAAGATAATGGCGGATGCCGGAAAAACTTCAAGTGTGTTTCAGACAGAAGGATGGACTCGACCGGCTGCATGGTGAGTTACCACAGATCATCTAACATCGCACTCATAACCGCTGACTGTGGTCAAACTATCTGGACCACAGCACATGTGAGGGAGCGATCCTGGCACGCTGCACTGAGACTCTCAAGCACTCATTCCAGGAGAACAGCATTCTGGCAAATACGTCTCATTACAGGCAGATAAGTTTGTCTCATGTTACGTGTGCAGATTAAAAGGAAGGAAATGAGTACAAGGAAATGCGGTTAATGTTTTTTTGGGGTGAGATCTGCTCATAAAACAGGGAAATTGATGAGCTCACAGCACTCTGAGCTGATGGATGAATCAATCATACACAGCACAATGGGCCTTGATCACTCACACATTTATTAAGAATGAAAGTCTGACAGTGATCTTGCAGTCGTATCAGCTGCAGTGCGTTAAAAGAATAGTTCACCCCAAAATGAAAATGCTCTTATCTTTCATTAACGCTTGAGTCGATACAAAGCCATTTCTTCTGGGGAACACAAAAGGGCAACTTTTGAAGAATGTCCTAATTGCTCTTTTCTTTTGTAATGAAACAAGAATGTGTCAGATTTTATGTCAGATTTGACATAAAAATGATTGGTTCTCACATGTCCCATGACATCATAGATGTCAAAAAGAAAAAGTAGTGTGAAAAAAATAAAAGAAAAAGTGGTGAAAAAGTATGCTTACTTGTATTGAATGTGTACACTTGTAGTGTACTTTAAATCTCAAATGTATATATATA